ACTTAAAATAGCAAACCTAAAGAAACATTTATAAAAACAAATAAAAATTTCATTAAAAACTAAATAAAACCAAGCTACGACATATTACTAACCTCTATGCACTTCCCAAATTCATAAACACCATTAAAATTCAATTATAGCAAATGGAACTATAATTACAAGTAGAATGTAGACATTATTTTTCAATTCAACTTAAAAAATCGTAAATTATTTTCAACGATTGTAACACTGCATAACTATGCTGGATCATCCATAATAACACTCTGTCATTCATGCCATACAAACAATTAACATACAGAAATTGCTAGACTTGAAATTATATACCTCACTTCCTCAGAAAAATTAATACTAGTCTACTAGATCTGCCTAAACTCTCCCTCATATGATCACGATATGATCTTAACATATGGGAAAAACTACTAAAATGCACTTTTTCATAACTAATGAAATTTCAAATCACTTTTAAACAAGTCAGAGGTCTTTCCAATGGGTTCCCTTCCTGTACCTGCTCTGTAATATCTTTTTATTTATCAAATTTAACTTAAAAAAAAAAAAATCTAACGACAAGAATTAAATTACTACAAGCATTAAGTATATTGATGTCTTAATACAATTAATAATTTTAATAAAATTGAATACTCCGAGATTTATCCAAATTGCCTACACTTAATAAAACTATAATTCACAAAATAGCATAGATTATCTCGATCTTCAAATCAAACTACCAAAAAAATTTCTTTTTGACAAAAAGAAACTTCAGTTTCAATACTAACAAATTAATAAATTGTCCAACTATCCAAAAAAGTAATTAACAGTACATGATAAAGCAAATAAGCGAATAAAATATCTTCACAGATAAGATAGATCTACAACGCGAAATTTTGCTCCTTATTAAATCTCAAAAATAATCATACCTAATCAATTTATTAACCATTGCCTTAAAAGACAGGCGTTAAACACTCACTCTATCATTTAACTGTAGGGATATGATAATTGTTCCCTAAACCTGAGAAGGCGGTAGAATTGGATGACTATCGTTGAAGGATTTGTACATAGTGTAATTACAAAGCTGTATATAATGTAAAAGCTGTCTTCAGACTTATGCTGTACTAAAAAAAAGGGCCTATTTCATAATCTTTAGTCTGTCAAATAGCTCTTTGACAGTGAAAATTCCTTTTTTCTTTCTTAATTTCCCGTCGTTCGACAAACAACTAGCCAGAAATTAATTAATTCCATTCACTAGACATTAAAAAATTTAACAGACGGTTTCACTCAAATAAGAACTCCACAACATAACGTCCCTCCAAGCATTCCTATCACTCGCTCTACCATAAATTACTTCACAAAAGTTTCGCCGACTGAAATAATTCAAAGCCCGTGCGATAAAGAATTTCGGAAACAAACCTTCTGAGTAAGACGCGAAAAAAAAACACTTGCCCCACCCCACTAGAAGACGTAAGTAATTAATGCTTTTTCTGGCCTTTATAACCTTCATGTAATTCCCTTTCTTCTTATTTATATTTTTAATTAAAATTTTATTTTTGATTTGTTTTTTCAAAAATTGCATTATATTTCTAATCTCGTAATTTCTAATGTTTATTTCAATTACGTTGAGTTTATTTCATAATACCAATTTCCAAGTTTAATTTTTTTTTTACAATAGTTTGATTAAAAATGCATAAACACGAGGACAATGACTCAAGTAATTTATCAATTTTACTGCATAAATTGCTTTTCACTCAAATGTGAATTACCGAAAATGCTTAATCAGAATGAGTTCTTTAGTGCTCTGCATTGGATCTTGATCCCTGGAATTCACGGAAATATTTGGCCTAACTTAAATTGACAGTTTGCCTTCGCCTTTTTACTTGAGTAAAGGACGAAACACCTTCGTATTTATTTCTTAATTATTGTTCATTGAACGGGAGTTGGTTTGTTCCCCTTGAAAAGTCAACTAATTTCCGATCAATGGCAATGATTACTTGCTTTTAATTTAATTTCTTTTTACGATTGAAATTTTGTTTTTCATGATTTAATTCAAGTCTCCGTTAAACATTTTTATCAATTTACATTCAAGTTACTTTAAAACAATTTTCGGAATTAAAATTACTAAGCATGGATTCACTCTTTTTAGATAATTCTACTAAAATTAATCTTAGGAGATAATATAATCAATATTTCTTTAGTAAATAAATTATTAGCAACTTACTTTGTAGCTATTGCGCAAATAGTAGAATAACTCGATTTCGCACTAAGTGAATTTAAGATCATACAACATATGTTATATATATACATATACCCACTCTGTTACTCCTGTTTTTATCCTTATATATTGATAAATTGCGCATTGTTTGCCTTAAAAATGATTGAATTATGTTCTTCTTATCTTCTGATTAAGCGTTTTTGTGCCATCAATTAGAAGAATAGTGGATTTGTGGCCAATCTAGAAAAACTAAGCTTCGCAACAAGAAAGTAATACCTTATTTTATTATTGAGAATTAAATTATGCTTAATCCATTCTGGAATTATCATTTAAGTTACTAAATTATCCCATATCTTGACTCGGCATAGCGTCCACAACAGGTTAAGTCAATTTCTGCGCCTTCATTGTCTTTTTGCTGTTGTGTAGCGAATTTAATTTAATTAAGTGATTCATAAAAATCAAAATTTTAATTTGTAATTATTCAAAATTTGAGCTACACAAGTTTGGTTATATTCTTTTTTGGCTTATTGATTCCAGTGTAATCTATTTCGGCTATTCGAGTTTACGCGAACTGCGTCTTCATTCTTGCACACGCAGACAATGGATTTAGGTGAACTTTTTGTGTAATAAACTCCGTTATTCATGTCAAAAATTAATTCGATTTCTTAGTATTTAATATCATTAGTTGCAAAAAAATTAGCTCTTTAATTTGACATAACTTTCGTTTTTCTAACTTTAATTGCATTTCAGTTATGAGCTTTAATTAGTAGATTTTTTTCCGTTTGCTTGTGATTTCGCTTGTGGGGGATGAAATGCCCTTTTCCGGTAGAATTGTCGCTTTTTTCGAGTTTTAGCGTTCTTTCGTTGGGATTGCTTGTTACAGGGTTGTTGAAATTCCAAGTTTCCCTCATCCACGAGGCGGTGGTTATTTTGGCGGCGGCTTGGCGACTTCGAATTTCCGTTGGGGTTTCAAAGTGGTGGATTTGGCGAGTTTGCTAACATGAGGGAATGCTGTAGTTGCGACTATTTTAACTTTTGGCGAAGAGTGAGTTGTGCCAACTTGGCACTCCAGCGTCTTGTTTTGGGGCTTGTTTTGGCAAACGGCTTGTTTTGGGGGACGAGCATACATTTTTTGACACGTCTTCTGCTTTTGAATTGCTTTCTGATGCTGTACGCGACGGCAGCTGATTCTGCCGAGGAAATGAAATCTCTTCACGACAGAGATACGGGCTTCGTGCCTCTGCGCCTTTAGCGCAGGCCCTGGTTTGCTTGCATCAATGTCTTCACCTAATTCTTCGTTTCACCTAATTTTTCGTTCATTATAACCTTATTTAAATTATTGTAACTTAGTTTAATTGTTAAAATAATAATATAATAAATAAATATAATAATAATAATAATAATAATAATAATAATAATAATAATAAATAATAATAATAATAATAATAAGTTCTTCATGAAATTATGTAATTCAACTTTTGGAGTTCCTGCTTGGTGAGGATTTATTTGTAGTAGTATCATTATTTGAGCCTCTTTGCTCCTCTCAGGGATTAACTTTGTTTGTAGGATTGTAATAGCGTAACTACTTAACATCTATCCGGTTAAACTATACTGTAAAAAAATAGAAAGTTATTATGTACAATAATCAAAGCTACCCATTTTTAATTGATGGTATTGAGTGCAATAGTATGCAATATATTTTTTTTATTGATTATTCTGTGTGAAGTGTCCCTTTTTTTTGGGGGAAGTGTAACTTGTTAAATTTATTTTTTTTCTCCCCGGGGAGGGTATTGTTCATTTTATTCATTAGTTTATTATCTGATATGCTTACTAGATTTTAAAGGTAAATTTTAATAGAGATTCAGAGGCTAAAGTAATATTACTCAGTAAGAGTATGGATTTAAAACTCAATAGTACTGAACTGTTTGAATTGTTTGGATTTTCTAAGAAATGGATATACTAAATGCATAAGAATTAAGTAAATAAGTTTTTTTAGGTCATTCAATGGTTAAATTTATTTTGTGTGTTCAGGATTTTTACCAGTATTTTACTCAAATTGATTTTAAGGGTTAATCCGGAATAAACACAATGCAAAATTTCAATTTTATTGGTACTAGTATTTTATGGTTGAATTGAGTTTTTATTTTTAGATGTTATGGTCAATTATAGGGTACTTTGTGGAAAAATTTGGTAAGTTCAAAAATACCATAACATTGCCAAGTGAGACCAAAAGTAAACTTTCAGTTTTGTGCACCGAAAAATCTGCCTTCTTGTCACTGGCCGAATTGATTGTTTTTGCATAGAAACTGTAATTTTAATTGTAAAAGAAATTTTTAATTGTTTGAACTGCATTTGGTGCTTTATGTTTTTCTATATCTTTCAATTTTTAATATAGATAGTTTGAGTTTTTATGTATTTTGCCTAGTCGCGAAGTGAGAACTGAATTAATTGAACGAGAAATTTATCTCCAATGAAATTCTAGGAAATAAGTTTAAATGAAAGACAGGAAAAAATACGTATAATTTAATATTCCGAAAAGGAAATCATGTGGTGTACACACCAGAGTTTTTTATATTTATGTAAATGCAAAACATTTATGAAACATGTCTCATTTTTCTATATAGATGTTAACTATCTCATTTTAAACTTGAATTGCTTGTAATAAAACATTCAAATTTATACTATTATAAGACTCAAAGAACGTCTTAAGCAAATTTTTTAAAGCTGCTTAAATAATTGGCAGCGATTAAGATATCAGATTTCCCTTTACTGACTGAGTAAAAGAAATACTACTTACCCAACGAAAGGAGAAAACGTTCCATAAATGAAATAGGCTGGACCGTCATAAACACCTTTTGGTTCAGATATTGAAGTCTCTGTATTCTTTATTGCATCTAGCATTACTTTGATGTTAGCTTTAAGGCTGTAACGACCATCTGGGTTACGTTTCAGTGAAGTAAGTATATGGTCGTCATCGCCACGTCTTTTAAGCAACTCTTTCTGAAACACAAAAATAGATACTTAGTTAATTCATCATTACCTAATTATAAATTATGCAGCTTAAAATTTGATTCTAATTGCAGAAATAGAATGACCATTTTAAGTAGCTATTTCCAAAATAAACGAATTACTTACACCTTCGGCAGGTAACTGATTGTAAAGGTAGTCAAAGATAAATTTTTTAGCACCTTTTTCATCTACATCTGTTGGTATTTGTTCAGTAGCTTGTTGTATTAACGTTAGAGACTTGGGCATCATCTCCATTACAGCTTTCGGAAATTTTCTTACTGTCATATCTTCTACTATAATCATCTCAACTCTCTCTTTCTGAAATTAACGTTAAATAATAAAAGTTCATAGTTAAATATAAGGCTAATAAAATAGGATTTTCTTCATCTGCTTATTTTAATGTGATTTTCTTCTTCTATGTATTCTATTTTTAAGAGCTTTACACATTAATACCATGTAAATGCTTCTAAAATTTCATTATATTGAACTACTAAATAGAACAACTATATGTTAATAAAATCAATATAACTGGGACAAATTTCGATGAAGCACTTAAATTGGGCTGCCAAGAAACAAACACTAAATACATAGGGAAAACTCAATTAATTTTAGACAGGATTTTGTATAGTTAATAGCTTAAATTATAGATGAATGTTTTATGTTTGTTGACTCATTTTTTTATCATTCTGCCTATATTCTCATTTTTATTTTCATCATCTTCCAATAGACTGAAAGTCAGTAGTATATGTATAAGAATAGAGTCCTTGAAGTTAAAAGAGATGTTCTGAAATTGGCACAGAACTGCTGCCTGTTCAACTACTATTTTCGTTCTGGTTCTGAATTACTTGAATCGTTTTTAGCCGTTTGTTAACCGTATTTGTTCACTTCAGTCGAGATCCTCTTTAACTCTTATGTTCGGTCACTTGAGTTAGTACAAATTAGCTGTGTAAATTTATTAGACTGAAGAGCTTGTAAGGTTTATTTTAATTTTGTAACAGTTACTTTTAATTTGCAAACCCTTTCCTTTAAATTCTTGTTTCCCACTCACAACTCCCTATCAAACTGAGCTTTTAGCATCGTTTTGCGTGTAAATAAGATAGAAGGAGTATTTAAGGAGGGTTTAGCATATTTGAAAAGAAGAGCTTAGGAGTCCTTAGTGGTTCGTGTTTGCCATCAGGTTACTTCATTGTTACGCTTGGCCACATTGTACCTGCGTATTGATATTATCCGGTTACTTTAATTGAGGGACAACTACGTTAGGTATTTGTGCATAACTTCGTCAGTTTAGTTTAGCATTAGATTAGTTTCTTATTTTTTATTCTAAGTTGAAGCTCTAGTAGAGGCTTTGTATGCCCGAGAAGGATAAAACTGTTATTATTTCTTAGAGTGAATAAAAGGGTAATTTAACCATTCTCTGGACTTTGTCGTTTACACACTTATATTCAGCTATAAGTAGCTAAACAGTTCAATAAATTCCAATACTTTCAACATACATAAAGTAGTTAGGAATATAATATAATAAAAAAGTTTGTTTAAACACTTTTCCGAGTTGATATTAATTTATTGAAGGATTAGAACAAGACTATTAGAGGCCTAGCTGCATTTATGGAGCCAGAATTTATTATCTTAAATACACGACTGGCCTTTAAAACTGATACACAGGGAGGATAGCAGAATTTATTTATTGTAGCTATACAGTATAATGGAAGGAATACATGATTAAATTTACAGGTGATTTGAGGTACGCAACATGCAGAATTCAATACACGGAGTTGTGCCTGTCTGGCATCAAAGATGGCTTCAGTCTGGCTGGGTATTGAGTCGAAATGACTTAGATGACAGATAGGAGTACTTAATTCCATGCGGAATTAACTCTATGCCAAACTTCATCAATCGTAGTAGCTGGTGAATAGTAACGTGCTAGCCTCTAAGCAATCCATTACCAGATGTTTTCAATGGATGAAAGATCTGGAGAAATTCCTGGCATCGAACACTCTTTGTATCGAAGAAGATCAAGACAGCAAATGCGGTTGTCCATTATTTTGTTGAAGAATAGAGACACGAAGGCCTAAAAGATAGGGCATGGCCATGGGCTTTACCACGTCACAAATATAACGGCAATTGTCCACATTACATGCTAGGCAAAGAAGAGATGATCTGATGTGAACCTATTGGCATTCCATTCCAGAACATCAGACGATGGTCTGTGAAATGATAAAGAATGCAAGCAGGCAGCATGCGGTCGCACATTGTCTTGGTGAAAGATGACGTCACGCAACCCTCGAAGATAGAGCACAGCCACAGACACATCAGAAATGCTATGTGGCTGTCCAAATTAGCGACTGTGCAAACAAGATATGACCGATATGTGTACCCAATGGGGCTCACACCAGCAAGCCTGGTGATGGGATCTTATGGTGATGACGAATTCAAACTGGCAATTTTCTTTCTTCTCTGTGCCTCCATCCAGCATGAAGATGTACACAGAATCGGGATTAATTGGAAAAGACGACGTGGTGCTACTTCTATGTCTAGTATAGTTGTTCGTCGTACCATTGTGGTGCCTCTTTCTTCTGCAGCATCAAGAAACGCCCTAATAATGCTCGCCGTGCTGACAGTCCGTAGTGTTCCAGACGTCATTGCACTTTTCATGTGCACACTTGTCGTGCTGCACACGAGCCAAGTTCCTATCTCGGCTCAGGGTGAGTGTCGTGGCTAGTCCATGAAATCTATATTTTTTTCCTTGTCATATTTGGTGCTCCATCGGTCGAAAAATTGCATATATTTGTATTTGTGATAGGCACTTTCAAACTTAAAACCTTTTCCTGAAATTCACGAAACATATCACATCCCGTTGTAGTTCCCTTTAAAGAACGCATGCACGGCAGTTTCTCGGTAATTTCGAAGTTCTCATGAATATTTTTTTTATAAATGATACTAATTGAGCAGTATTATTTATATCAGTGCTCTTTCATTGATAGCTATGGAGCAAAATTTAAACTGGCCAATCTTTGACTTTGTGATGTCAAATTTTTATCGACGTCTTCGATTCTAGAAGTCACCGTTTTTCGAGATAAGCTTACAGTCTCAAAATTATATTTCTTCTCCGGACATAAAACATCACAAAATTTGGAGCATGAATTTTTTAACGAACTCCCCATCACTGAGAGCTTTATTATTTTTAGCAATATTGTATGCTACAATGTAACTTGCATGTGTAGCTGTTTCTTGGATATTGTTTACGTTCTTGAAAAAATTTTCTCAGCTTGATATTTTTTTACAAAGACTTTCTGTATTTTGTTTTCTTTCATATTCTGACATTGCTTCGTAATTGAAATTCTTATGCTTAGATGTGAAAAAGCGAGAAATGTTATATTCTTTGAAAACTGCTACAGCTTCACTGAAGATGAGACACACTGGTTTATCTTTTACAACTGTAAAAAAAAATTCCAGGTATATTCATTATTAAAAGCACGGCACTCTGAATGAACTATACGTTTTTTAGTAGCCCTATTGGGGTTGAAATATTTTACGAATAACCCAAATAAGCACTAGTTACGCTATACGTTTAGTAATTTCACCACTGTTCACAATGATGCTATATATTTGCAATCTTTCCACACGCAATCAATAATATTAGAATTCGCGACAAAAGAAAAAAGCCGCTGGCTGCAGCTTAAAATTCGCAGTCTGCCACATGTGAGGTCTAATTCACCTATATTAGATTCCCATATGTCTGCTCCCCGAGAAAAGAAATGACACTTCTTGGCGCTAGTCTACAACTATAGCTAACAAAGAACTTCAGCTTTTAACACTTTACCGATTGAAAGCTGTCTGTGTTTGCTATTTCCGTCGATTTATGCTTTGTGGATCAAAAATAGAGAAAGTAAAAAGATCATCAGTCCTTTGAAAAAAAGGAAGAAAAAAATATATTTAAACAAAGTAGAAAATGAGATGGATATATAATATATAAATATATATTTCTTTTAATTTGCTTCAGACCATCAAATTAAAAAATTTTCCGCGGGCCGGAGTTGGCCCGCGTGCCGGAGTTTCCCAGCTCTAGTTTAGACTAATCTTCAGCCTTAGATCCCTTTCCTTTTGATAGTTTAAACTACATGAAAATAAAGACAGGTCATTGGCACGCAAAGATTCGCTCGACGGACGAATTACATTACATCATCTTCATTATAAATGCCCGAACTATGCAGGAAACTATTATGGTAATAAGAAAATTGCTCATATGCTCATATTAAACTTTCCATTTTGCAAAGTTGTGCGTTGTCCTGTTTTCATCGTTGAAACCTCTCATATATTTAAAACATTTTGGGTGTTATATTTTCTTTGTCTGACTGAGGAAGAAATTTTTTTGGATGGCATTTCTTCATAGATTAAAAACATATTTTGGAGCAAGACATTTAACTCTTTGAAAACCAAAACCTTCCCTAACCTGTATGTTAAAATATCGAACTGCCCGAAATGGTTTTCGAGCGTCACAGCAATTTCTTTCCCACCCCATCCATTAGCGCACAAAGAAGAGTGAAGACTTCAAATGACATCCTTTCTACTTCTAACAAATAAAGATAAGAAACAAGAAATAAATCATTTTAGAGCAAGCTGTCTGCAGTAAACTGATACAATGCAGTTGAGGAAACTTCACTTGCTATTGCATACCTTTAGGGAGGGAAGGAAACAACACCATAATTTCGGTCATTTGGGGCGGCTGTGGTGGTTTGAATGAAAGGCCATTTGGGCCGTTATGGTCTTCAAAATGTTAATGGACAATCGAACAAAGAAATTTAAAAACATTTCTATCTGACCATAGAGTGTCAATTGCTTCGTTTTAGGTTACCTTTATTACAGCCGTAACGTGATATAATCATGCATAATGTAAATTTAAACACTGGCATCTAATGAGCCCTCATTTTTTCATAGTACTGTTTCATTTTTACTATGCTTTCTGCCCACGTATTACACTATCCACTTGTTCTTCTGTGTGGTATGGCCCACTCTATCAACTAGATAGATATCAATATGTAATTGTTTAATAATTTCTATACATCTTTAATTGTTTGGATTAGGGGCTCACAAACTAAGACTGATTGCAGATTTCTGAAACTGTATTCGAATAAAACGATTCAAAAGTCTGCCTCCTTCCGTTCTATCAAACACCATATTACGGAATAAGAATTACACTCAGAAATTTGGCTTTTTGAACAACCTAAGCATATTGCTGTTATTTCTTCTGCCCTATCGTGAAAGGCATTGGTGTGTCTACGTCAAGTATTACAAGAAGTACTCTAAATTCCACGAAATGTAAACAGAACAACCCGAAAGACCAATGCATCCACTTTTCCATACCCTTTCTCCATCAAGATTGCGTTACATGGAAATACCAAATGCGGAAATGCGAACTCCAAATTTCCAAATTCTTATGAATAACTGTAACAAGGAATATTGTGTAAAGATGAGTAAAATATAATATTTAATATAAGGCACAAAACACATAACAAAATGTATTTTGTTATTCGGATGATATTTCTGTTGACATATTTGAATAACTGCTGTATATTAGTGCTTATCGAATGAAACTCTTAAATAATACATTAGTTCTTAGTATAAAAACTCTTAATACCTACACCCTGGAAGAACGTTTATTTATCTTAAAATGAGTTTTACTAAGCCGAAATAATATCATAAGTAAAACATTTCGGATAGAGAAATATTTCGCTGAAGTCATAACGGCAGATACAAAATATATAAGATCTATTAGTAAACTTGTTGTTACGAAGGAAAGGAAATGTAGAGACACTTCTGAAAATCTTTTCGAAGAAAAGCCATTTATTTTAAATCTAAAGGTCTTCAGAATTATTAAGAAGTGCGAAGATCACGTGAAAATAAAACTTTGACATTAAAGTAGTCCTCATAAATATGAAACAAAATTTTGCACTTACTAATTATTGTGCATTGATGGACTGTAACTGATAAAAATTAACAATAATATCTAGCATGGAGATAAAAATTTCATTAACAAAATTGTCTCAAATAGTCAATGATAAATTACTGACGGATGCATATGATTAAATGCATAAAGGGGGGATAGCTCTACAACAATTTAGTTGTATTATAAATACCTTCAAAGAACACAATTTTAGAACTTGTTAGATACAACGCTATTATTAATATAGATTTTTTTATATGCTTCGCTTCCAAGCCAGATATAGATTTAGGTATATTTTAACTTTAGCTGCTACTGACTGGACAATAAAATAGTATTGTTAATCACCAATTAATCTGATATTTATTATTTTAACTACCAGTTTGGATGAATAGAATTTAATGATGTTGCTGAAGAGTTTTTCTAAGTTTAAAATTAATGCGCACGAAGATAAATGAAATGATAAAAAAGGATAACATCAAATTAATTATCCATAAAAAGTTCTTTTCGCAAAGTTGGTCAGTTTGGTTGTCTCCTATGTTTTATTTTTCTCATACAACTGCTAACGCTTATAATGTGGCTACCTTTGCTTAGGAACTAAACAATCACAGTATTTTCTAATTCTATGTATATTTATTAAATTCCAGGTCTTTTTAAAAAAATTTACCTCCACAAGAGCTGTTCTTATTGCTGTTATTCCTCCCATGCTATGTCCGAGTAAAACAGCTTTGGGAATGTTCAATGTGTCCATGAAGTGCACTAAATCAATGGAATTAATATCTAAGTTGAACTCATCCGACCATTCGCTGTCACCATGATTTCTGGCATCCAGTAGGTATATCTGAAATCAAATGTAAGTGTTGTCAATACTTTTGGTAAAAACCTTAACTTATCATAATAATCAGCATATCCTTAATTGTTTACATGCATGAGTTTAACGCAAAGGACAGTATAACATTCCGCAAAGCCACCAATATATAAATTTAAATATTATTTCGCAGTATATTCTTACCCATGAAATGCGAAAATATGGAAATATTTTTGTCAGTCAGTATGTGTTGATAATGCACATGAAACAAAAATAATAATTACAGAGTGAAAATATCAAATTTTGCTAAAAATGTAGCACAGTTTCAAGATTTGTAGATGTTCCCAAAAATTATTAATTTCAAAAATCTTCGCAAATTTCGTATATTTAAAGATATTAATTTATCGTAAGCTTTTTATTAATGTATATTTGACTTTAAAGGGATCCTATAAAAAGTTGTATTTACAAAATTTTCCATCACAACAACTGAAATTGTTTTTATGAAACTTTCTTGGGAAATTGCGTAATTGTAACTGCCTATCTAGAATAAATACTAAAGGAAATAAAGCTATAGCAGCCTTTCTCAAATACCTTTTCCAGTAACTGTACGAGAATGTACTTTAAAAACATGACTGTGGCAGTTTAGAACTTGTCCTTACTGTACATATAATTTTTGGTACGGAATTTGTCTTAGCAAGCGACGGGAACCATCGAAATTTTGAATAATACCAACTTCCTGAAAACAGGGATAACAAACTTATTAATACGAGTAATATAAATAGTGCTATTATTTAAATAAAATAAAATGTAATATGAAACGGAGTCTATAATTTACATAAATAGAGAAGAGAATAAATTTCTTACCTTTCGTTTCGTTGCATTGGCAATTGTTTGAGGGATATCCAACCAGCAATCGCTGGAAGCTGTTAAAGCATGCAAAAAAATAATCGGTGGTTTGTCACCGGCACCACTTACAGGCTCAACAGTCTTATATGCCAATCTTACTGGAACGTAACTGAAAATAAATTACACGTTTTGAATATAACACAACTGTAAAATATCAAATTGTAAACGATACTTTTAAAAGTTTGTATACCTCATTAGATTAACTTAAAATAACAAGGTTCCATACATATTTATACATGGAATACATAGAATGTTCAAATGAAATACATTTACATGTTAATTTATTATTAATAAACACTTTTTAACTAAATATAATTGGAAAGCTTGTTGTGGAGTTCGTAATAATACTAAAAATCATAAAGACGGAAAAACTGAACTGTATAACCCCATTTGAAGACTTCATCATACTATAGGATTTAATCTTCAAATTAACCAGTTATTCATAATTTCAGCTTTTACTATAACTTCTCTTTTCCGTTTCCTCACCAGAATGAAAGTTGAGTTAGAGAGGGTTTAAGCTGAGATTTCTGGATTGAAAAAATGAGCATGTTTCTGCCTCTCGGAGCCGCTTTACGTAGTTCCTGACAGTTCTGATAAGTTCGTAATTATTCCGCTTTGCGTTTTGCTGCAGGCATTTCAATCTGATTTACCGGATAAAATTTTTAAGCCAGCTTATATTTAAATTTATTTGAGTAGCCTTTAAATCTATTCTACGTTTTAAATTTGAACTTGACTGTTAATTTAATTATTCGTACATTGCCATAAGTGGTGGTTGATTCTATTAGCAAAGGAAGTGCATTTATGTTCAAAGTTCTGTTTCAATAAAAAAAGGTTTTTTAAACCTTTTCAAGTCTCTGTAGTTAGTTCAACACAACGGTGATTTGCTTTACGCCTAATTTAGGAGTTTGGAATTATTTATGCCTCCAAAGTCAGTCAAACTCTACAATATCATAAGCTAAACATCGTTTGTAAGAAAAGAGAAGCATGCTAAGAATCCAATTTTATCTTAGATACAAAATAAATTTGGTACTTAAGATAAATTTCGATCGGGTATGTTAATAATTTTCTATAATACATTTTAAAGAAAACAGAGCATAATGGCAGCATATTTTAACTATTTTTTCTTAGTTTGCTTTATTTTCACAAAAGCGAAAAAAGGAGTTAGATATTCAATGTATGAATAATATGAGACTGATGTACCTGAATTTCCAGTATTAGCCTAAACACACGAATTAAATTTTTATTTTATGGTTTTTGTTATGCCATCTAATCTTAATTTGTTTTTATTTCACATAGAACTGTTTCTTTTCGCGCAACATATGGCATATTAATTGCTTTAATCTTTCTAGAGTTTCATGAAATTTTCTGATTAATTTATATTATTAAGCTAAACAAAAAAAAGAACCATATTTCTTATTGTACTAACAAAATGAATGAAAATTTAAGTGAATTATAATTAATGAAGTTTAATACTGTATTTGTTAGCTGAGATTAATTAAACGAACTAAACTTAAAAATTGACTGACATACATATAGCACATATATTTTTTAATTTAGGAAAATATTACTATTAACTAAAGGCACAAAACTGTTAAGTGAAATACACATTTTGAAAGTACATTTGTATTTGTAAAAATATGAAGACCTCATGGTTGATAATACTGTTTTGCATTTATTTATTTTATATTTTGCATCAACTTTCAAAACGTCATTTTACGGTGATGTTAAATAACCATTAAGTAACTTACTTCGACATATTTTCTTGACAAAAAATGAGCCTAAGATACACGGAAGCACTAGAAAATGGAGAACGTCTTCAAAAAGGGGGATGTTAAAGCGAGTGGGCTGTCTCTTTCTGAGATACTGCTATCTACAATGAGTATACATCAGAAGAAGAGAAAAATAAATTAAAAAGCATATCTACTACTTTTCGCCTCAGTTGAGTATCCACCGACGATAAGATTTAGCATCTATCACAGTACTGACCTTCCATGAATTCCCTTCCCCCCCACACGCGTTGGCTATTTCATCTGCCGAGCGAAAGACAGTGTTGAATTAATCGTATGACGCACAGCTACTCGAGTAATTGTAAGAGCAATTCGCATTATTGTATTTTCAGAAGCCCATTATTTTATGAATATCCATTATTTTGTAATGAACTGTCACATCCAAATAACTATATTCTGAAGGAGAAATTTTACATTAAAAATATCAAAAGTTCAGTTTTTGCATTTTTTTTTGTTTCTTACTCAGTTCGTTACCTTGTGTCAATCTAACATAACATCAATCAATCAGGAAACATAATTAATTGCTATTTCTCATAGTTATTAACAGTCAAGAGACAAAATACCTTTAATTTATCTTTTCTGACACACTGGTAATTCTACGACTGTTGCCATTCTCGAAGCAGATGATTTAAATTAATCTTTCAAATCCTAAAAGTACACTGCATATAGGTAAAAGATATATTATGTAAACTCACACGTTTCCCCCTGTCACCATTTACTACTAAATTATTCCATTGTTGTGGCTGAATTATTGAAATTTTAAGTGTTAAATTGAAATTTAGTGTTAACTGAGATTTGAGTTGTCGAATATTTTTGTCAAATTTCGCTGAAAAAATGAAACTGGAAAATCAATAGTTTAAATTTTGTATTTTATTTACTAAATTATATTTGCATTTAATAATAAACACAGGTATAGGTTCAACAAATGTATGCTATAGTTGGTTTCTCACTCGATGTAGACAGTAAATTTTCCTTCATTTAAAAATTTTGAAAATTAAGTAAATTTTCTTTTCCTATTCTTATTGTTCTTATTTGAAGGATGTGAAGGAACTTAGAGCGTAAAGAAAGTTTAAGAATCGAATTCGAGAAAATAAGTTAAGATATCCCACATCTAATTTAGACGGCAAACGTTTTCATTAGGACAATATATTTCTGACATGCCGGAATTCAGCGGACAATGAGTAACAATGAAAAAAATATGAAATAAAGAGTATTTAATAAAAAGAAATTTTGAAAGGTTTAAGATTTTAAATTACGTCCAAAGGGGCGTTTTTTTAGCATTTTGCGTTACCTTTATTAGTTAAATATCATATTCTTGGCACTTAAACCATAAAATTCAGTTCCAGACCAATAACGCAAAATAATTCTAAAATGAGCATATCTTTAGAATTTCCGATGCACAGTCTCGCGTGCTGGAGATAAAAAGGTTTTTTTTCTGTACAACGTTGCCATTGCTCGCTTTGAAGTCCATGAGTTTGTTAATCAAAAATTCGTTACACTTTTACAAAATATAAAATAGATAATTAAAACAAATTCTAAGATTCCAAATTTGAGATTTCAGATGCGCATATTCGCAGGTGGAAACGTACGCTCATTCAAAATTGGATGGCCGTAGGTACCGTTGTTTCATCACAATGCGAGGACCATATATACATTTATGCATTCTTCATTATTTAATTTCTTCAAATATGATACAAGGCGATAACATTTGGTGGTAACAGTCTGAAAAGTGAAACGAACATTCAGAGTGGTTCGACGCAAAATCGCAAAATGAAAACAATAATCCCTCAGGAAAAGCCCATTTGGAATAATAAAAACAAACAAAGAAAGAAAATCTGAAAGGATTCAGGTTTTAATGTCGAAACAATGGGAAGCACCACTTATGGTCTTCTAAAGTCTCTCTGAGCTCGCAGTTTACCAGGCTCCTCTGGAATCAACCCTGCTAACACAACTTTTTTTTGTACTTCATCAACTTTTTTTTGTACTTCAATTTAAAAATCTATTATTATTTATAACAAATAAACATTTAAATACAGTATATGTAGCCACAAATTCAATTAAACACTAAATAAACCATAAAATCGCTGTTATCAAAAGAGTAAATAAGTAAAATAAATGAGGAAAACAATACAAAATATTAAACAATGCAGAAAATCAAAAATAGAATAAAAAGAAATAAAATATTTAGAAATATTTGCAAGAATATCAATGTTTAGTTTTCTTACTAAGATGACTCACACAAATATTTTTATCCTTTTTTTTTAGTCCAATGGGGCAGTTTGCCCAGAAGGACTATTAATTTCGTTTTGGCATTTTGCGTTGATTCATTACCAAGCGTTGTTTCACTTTTCAAATTGTTGCCATCAGATATTATCGTAGTGTATTATATTTAAAGAAATTAAATAATAAAGAATCTGCATAAACGTCTGTATGTTTGTCGCACTATGATAAAACAAAGGTAACCTAAAACCATCAAATTTTGAATAACGTAATCCTCCTGCGAATATGGGCATCTGGAAGCCCAAAATTTGAAATTTGGAATTTGTTTTATTATCGATTTCATATTTTGTAAAACTGTAACGAATTTTTCATTAAGAAATTCAAAGATTTCAAAGCGAGCAATGGCAACGCTGTACAAAAAAAATATTTTTACCTTTAGCGCGCGAGACTGTGTATCGGAAATTCTAAAGATATGCTCATTTAAAAATTCTTTGCGATGTTGCTCTTGAAGTGAATTTTATGGTTTAAGGGCGAAGAACATGATATTTAATAAATAAATGTAACACGCAAAAATTAAAAAAAAAAAAAAAAAAAAAAAGTTCCTTTTTACGAATTTAAAATCTGAAACCTTTCAGTTTTCAATTTTTCATTTTTTTTTCTTTTTTAAGTTGTAATTATAAGATATTTTCACCCTCCTTCGCTTGCTTTCGTGGTGTAACTGGATAGTACATCCAGCTGATAGTAGGGAGTCCAGTGTTTGATTCTCGGCTGGCCTTTGAAACCTAATGAACTTTCATATTTATTAGACACCACTGTCACTACGCTAACGCCTCATAAAATTCAACAGCAGAATCATAAAATGCTTAAAAACAGCGCATCTTTAGAATTCCTCTTACAGTGTTAAGTGTTAAGTGTTGTAAAATTTTTATATTCATTATATTATTTATTTAAAAATAATACATGGGGATACCATAATATTTATAATGTTCTTACAATTTGTTTTTTTATTGCGAAAATATTCATTAAAAATTTATTTTATAGCACGTTGTTCATAAATATTGTTAGCCAAGCAAGAAAACTGCAAATTATTGTTGTCTTGCAACTGAAATAAGTTGTTTACATATTACAAGCAGCTGAAATGAAATTATTTTCTTAGCAAGCTTCCTACCATTGAAAAAGCAAAGCTCTCTTATCTTTTTGTTATCTTGCATATTCTGCTTACATCTCCAAACGCATATTCATTGACAAGTGCATGTATGAACAGAACTTATGAATGTAAAGCTTAGCACACCGTAGTTGTACAAAATGTAGTAGGATAAGGGAGGACAGGAAATAGATTACTGTATGCGGAATGAAGTGCTTCTAGCAGTTGAAAATTCTTTCATTTAGTCATGTAGTGTTATCCAGATGTGGCTAAGAATCAGATTTTGTCATAAGTTTAATGTAACATTACATAGAATAGTTGAAATCGTTAAGATATAATAAGAAATTTTATTAAAATTATTCCTTTCAGTTACAATTTTTTTTTTCAGTGGATAACGGTATTGGCCTTTCTTAAGGCAGGATGTAGTGGCCGTTTTATTGTGGAAGCACCTAATAGGCGTCCACCGTGCCCTCCTAAGAACGGACAAACAATTTTACATCCATGCCTTCTCCGGGATTCAAATCCGGGCCCTTCGGTATCGCAGACAGGTTTCCCTAACCACTATACCGTCTGTTATAGGCCCTTTACAAATGTTTAGAATTTAGATGTCTAAAAGTCGAGAACGTCTAAATAAATAACTTCACTCTAAAATATCTTCGCGGTAACCTCTTCTTAGTCTAAAGTATAATTTTACTGAAATATTTCGTAAAAACGTATTGTTGCGTATAGGTTTGTAATAAATTGAATGTACGCAGAACATACGATAGTTTGATAAAATTCATTCTTATCATAAGGAATACTCTGCAGTTGTGGATATTTCCACAAAAATACTCGTACACCTCTAATCAGTGTCACAGAGGACAATTAATATTTACACTTCAAGCTAATAAGAACATTAAATACAGCGCATTGCAAAGCGCGTCTAAAAAGGCAAAAGCTCCAACGGAGGTATCTCACTACTATGAACTCACGATGATTTAAACAACTAAGAAACAGATGCTCTCTCCGGTCTTATATAGTTTTCCCCTGATCGCCAAGAAATCTCTGGTACCTTCCATTTCTCGAAATTACTGGAACGCATATACGATTAAGTTACACATAGGTACCGGATACGGTTACAGGTACACATAGAGGTGAATTACTAAACCAATTATAGTTATACAAGCCCTGGACCAAAATGTCACCAAATTTGTCGACGTTTGGTGATTTTCGCTAAATTTGGACACAATGAATCGCCGAAACCATCGCAGATTGGCGATATCTCGCCATTTTAGCGAGATAGCCATTTACTCCATGTTAAATAGACTTGCCCTCTGTAATCTTAATTTTCTGTCAGAGCTTCCTCTCTTTGCAGCGTTTTATGTTACGTTATATAAAAAACACTACAATTTCACATGCGATTTCACTAAAATTATTCACATATATAGAAGATTTATAACAATATAAATGAAAATATTTACCGTGAAGGATTTTCTCATCGGCTACATTTTGATCTATAAAATTTAATTCGAAGAGTTTCTCTACAGTTACATTCTACAACAACTTATAATCTAAAATTTTCTCTTCTATTAAATTTCTATACATTATCAGCAGTTACTGTGTAAAACATTTCTCCCTTTCTTGCTTTCTTAAGCCTGCAAACCGATCTTCATCAGACAATTCATATTCTCAAATTTAATCGAGATGGCATTATAGCGTTCACACGTCTTAGACACTTGATTCATATGAGAAACTACGGACAGGAGAAAGCTACCCGTTGAGTGATCATTGCAAAGAAGGATGGCTACACTGAGTATACAAGCAAGGCGGTGTTAATTCCTTTGATATTTGACAGTACGAAGAAAGTTTAGTGACGTGTTTGAAGACTCAGTGCAGTAACACATCGGAATATAACTGTTAGTATGCTTGTGATATTTCATTAACATAAAATTCACTTCTTTATTCTGTTTTACCTAAACTGTCTCTGTTTCCTACTGACATTTCGTCCTTACGAAAGTCGAACTATACTTCATTTTATAAAACTCTCTCAAATGAGCAAAATGCCATTAAAACTTATAGGAACGGATGCCCACAAACTAAATCTTCTTCATATTAGCAGTTTGCAGGAAACTCATATAATTATTTACAAATTTTTATCACAGTTTACAGAACCCTTAAACAAAAGATTTGGCTCTTATAAGCGAAGGCTCATATTTCTCGATCCTGAAAGTTTCTTCTGCATCTGATCTTACAAAAGTTTAAACATCTATTAAGTCCTTTCACGTACTCGTAGCTTACTCTAAAAAGAAATCAGTCATTCTGTAGAGACATTAGGATTTTTTGGAAGCAAGAGAGATTGAAAAATTTGCAAATGCCTTCGCCACGAAAGCACGCTAGGAAAGCGGAGAGAATAACCTTATATACTCTCCTTTTTAAAGGGCGACTAGGGTTTTTAGGGGACCTAGTCGCCAAATTCTGGGTGTGGAGAATCCTCATCCAACACCCTTTTAGTTTAGGGGAGAATAACTTTATAATTCTACATGTTATTAACTGGGTATTTTCCATGCTTTTCCCAAAGTTCACAAAATCGGAATTTCTTTTCTCACGATAGATATTAACTTAGGAAGAATATCACAATCCTTTAGCCAGATATTTGGCATATAAGATTTCCTCGGTATTTTCAAACAGCATTTAGATAATAAACAATTCTTTTGGACTCGCTAAACTTAAGGATATTTTTTTTCAGCTCTCATTTGCGATCTCTTTTTACATTAAATCACTGATTACCAGGTTTTCTCAGGTTTGGTTTGGTTACGGCAAAGCACTCGAAGGCTGTCTGCCTATGGAGAAGGGATGGAAGACTTTCTAAGGGCTACTGGCTCGTATGCACGTTACACATGGGAAAAACACGAAAACACAGCAAGGCTGTTTGCGGAATTTGAACATCGGACCGATCGACCAGCAACTTTAACGTTCTGCTATTGGTGGCCTCATTGTTTACCAGAGTTCCATTTTGTGGAGTGTTAGAGTGTTTGAAATCAGACTTCGTGAATTCCATTCCCCGAATGCTTAAATTCAGAAGCCGATTTCTCTCACTGTGGTTTCTTTCAGTCAGATCCCCTTCGTATACCAAAACCATTACTATAGCTATATTGAAAGTCTAGCTATGTGATAATCCCTTCTGTACTTGCTGATATTTACATGTATCGAAGTCAAAGTATTAGAAAAGTTAGATTTTAGGTTCTGGATTTGCTATATTGATGACTCATTTGCGCTTGTTAAAGGTAATGAAAAAGACTTCATAAAGTTATGAATTCGATGAATTAGTTATGAATTCGAATGATCCAGGCATCCAGTTCAGTTTTGAAAATGAATTAAGCAATTTCCTTGATATTTCAGTTACTCACAATGAATTTAATTTTAGCACTGGTGTTTTTTGTACACACATTTCTATCTGTTTGCTTCCGTATGCTGAGTTGTCACCCTGCTAAACAAAAAAAGTCGTTTCTTTTTACTCTTATAAAGGTCGTGCTCTTAACGTTTGTGTTTTCAGAATGTTAGCTATCTCACGACTCAATTTCTTGAACCCGGTTGCCATTTTAAGAGGATTTTCTCCCACATTAATTGATATAGCTTTAAAATTTTCTTGTTTCGCCATGAAAAAAAGAATTTTTCTTTAAAAATAATCATAGTAACATTTTCGTTATTATTTTATCTTTCATCAGTAGCAAAATCACTCGAATACTCCAGGAGTTCAGCTTTGAGGTTATTTTCCTACCTATCAGTAAAATTCATTGTTCGATTCTTAAAGATCCCATCTTATAAGGCACTTTCTATCTCCTTTCTACATGCCTTCGTGGTATAATGGTAACACACTCAGTGCGAATTCGAAAGGTTCAGGTTCGATCCCTGGCCAGGGCATTGCTCATTTTTTATGTCTCCGGCATTAAAAGAAAGCTAACGACTCTACCATCTCAGGTTTTAATTCTGGAGAAATTTCTAACATGTCTTCTCAGCGGGGTTTTCATACTTCGGACAAGCTAAAGGAGCATTAAAACTATTTCGCTCAAGAAAGACAAATCTTATGTTTAGAAAGGAAAAATAAATATTTGTTAGCTAAGCATAGCTAAACACTTAATTTTGACTTCGGTTGTGAAAACATTACCCAGAAAATTTTCCTTAGTACGTGAATTGGGTTTCCGTGAAGACTTTCCCTTCCAAATTTTTTCTTCTTTAATTAATTATATTAATTCCAATCCTTCCTACCTAATAGCTTTTCAAAATTCTAATATCCTAATTTTTCCAATTTTATCACTTTTTTTGTCTACCCATGGAGGCGCGTTCGAGTTCGCTTTCCTGCATCCATTTTAATTAATATGTAAATGGTAATTTGTCCTCTTATTTCTGTAAAATGTTTTTGCTGCTCAAGAAGAGGAAAGTATGTCTGATCTCTCTGGAAATCAATAGAGTTTTATTCAAAATTTACGGCAAACGGAGTTTGATTTACCCCTTTAATTTTTAGATGATACATTTGCGCGTTCTTCTTCTGTTTTTAAGAACAGATTTCTTTCGTAATCATTAACTTTTTTGCTACTTTCAGCATCTTCAGACAGCTACACACAGCTTCTGCTGCATTTTAAAAATAAATTTATTTTGAAATATGGGCGACAAATATGGGTAGCCATTTCTTTTTTACTTATCAATTAGCTATAAAACTGCACTTATTTTACAGAAATTTTAACTTTCGTGTCGTTTTCTTCTTCTATCAATAAAGTTCACAGCTCCATGTATATGACCCCATACTGGTTATAATCTCTTGCGGTATGTCGAGTATTTCTTGCCAGTATAGCTTAATATACGTGAGCAATCTAAGCCTTGAAATTTCTCACTAAAACGGAGGAAAGATGTGAGAAAAATATATATATACACCTTTTACTGCTGAATCTTCCTGTCAAGAAATCACATTTTCTGCTTTTCTGTAGCCAAGACTATTCTAAAAACATCTTCCGTTTATATTCATAAAAACCTTTTAGTACTAGTTAATAAATGATTCCAATTCTAATTTTGCTTTACCTTCAGCTTTGAAATTAATTATTCAGCAGTTTTGTTTTCCAATTTTGTCAATAGACAGCACCAATATCTTTCTTCCTCTGCCCACCTGGAACTTTTCCAACTTTTTTTCCTATAGCTGCCGCGTGCGCATATGATTCTCCATCGCCAGTTTTACTCCTGTAGCTGAAGAAGAAAGTTTCTGTTTAATCTTCCAAACTAGTTCAGCGAATTTATGTACCTTACGCTGCTTCTTATTGTTGCAACTTCAGCATTTGTTCTTCGGCATGCTGTTTTGCTAAGAATGTTGAGAGGTATTAACGCCTGATCTTTTGCTGTGTAAACAGTGTTTTACAGAATTATTGTGGCTTACAAGGTATTATTTCAATTTTATCCATTTTCATTGTAAATTTTCTTATCTATTTTTGTTTGTATGCTGCATTAAGTGTTGTTATTTGCTGTATTTAGAAATTCTGATTTGGCATATTGTTGATGCCTATGCACTTTTTCCCTCATTGGACAAATTTTTCCTTCTTGACCAATTTGCTTTTTGACTTGTTTTTGTGCTTTGAATTTGAAGGGGCTGCTTTAAATTTCCTTAGTCTGTTAATTTAATTAGAAATAAATAAAAGATTCTGCACATAAAAGTAATGTGGATTTAAATAGTGCTGAAGCGATTAAAGGAAATTAAACATTTATATTATATTAGATCATATTTATTGCATTAATAATCATTTATACAATATTTTACAAATTAGTTTTAAGTTTTGAATGGGGAAACGTGATAACACAAGTTCATGGTTCTTTTTCTGCAACACAAATTCAGCATTTGATTCTTATACAGCTTCATGCTCGGGACAAAAATTTCAAAACAGCATCTGTAAATTCACGAGGGCAATCTGTATGTACGCTATGGGCTGCATTTTCTATTCCCACAAACTCAGCGTTTGGAAAAAATTGCCTAATATAAGGTTCATCGGCTCCCCTGAAAAAAAAGAAAAAAAAATAGTATTTATACATGTTATCTGGCAAAGAAACGTATATTTTAAATTATTACTTCCTTTTAGAAAATATCTTAATGTGATATTACTTCTATTAAAAAAGATTAAGGAAACCTGATGTGGCCAGCACAAGATCTCCAGCCTACGACGAGCTTTAAATAAAAGGTCCAGTGATCCTTTATTTAAAGCTCGTTGTTATTTAAAACATGGAATTGGTTGAAGGCTTGTAAATGAAATCTAATATTCTGAAACCTTATGACTCAATCCTAATTATAAACACTATTTGTTTTTATTATTTTGTTATCCCATGCAATCGAAAATGATAACTATATGTCGTCATATATACATCCATTTTCATGCTTCCATTTTATAACCGTAGTATATCCTCTGGTTGTATGCTTCGGATTCACAAATCAATATATATGCTATTCCCTGTACAGCACTAAAATGTACTCGATCAATATGCACGTCTTTATACTGGAAAAGAATTAATTTGCTTAATTAATTAAATCACTCGTCATCTTCACAATATAACAACTTTCATATTTAAAAAATGAGCAAGTTACATGAGGCATGCTCAGAAAACTAGCGAACGAAGCCAAGCTATTTAAGAATTATAGATACGGTTGATAAATTTCACTACGCTATTAGAACGAGTCATTTTCTTAAAGCTGATATTGCGATTGATGATTCCTTGAGCTAGTGGTTGGTGTTGGTGAGATATCATTGAACTGTCACTAGGAATAACTTAATTTATTGATGACTTCATACTGAGCAACGAAGGCTGACTTTAAGCGGCCCAATTCAAAAGCGGATTCTTTTCCATTTATCAGAATGGTGACGAGCTTCCCAGTTCATTTGCTAATGTCATGGATCATTATACGGCTGTGTCAAGGGTGCTTTTACAGTATCATTGCTCTTAAAACATACTACAAGAGCAAGTATCTCAGGAAAGACGGACAAGACAGAAAGGTTTAATATGTGCAAGAAGTAGAAACTGGAGTTAATTCCCTCATAGTGTTGCACAAATGCTGGAAGAAAATAGCAGAATACGCCTGCAGCAGGTGGTTTTTAAAAACTGTCATAATTCACCTGGTAAGGACAAAGTTGTTCCATAGAGCATCTCAAATAAAGTACTATCAAGGTCCCTTTTTAAAAGCTCTTTGGAGGCCAAGAAGGGCAATCAGTAAAGTTTCTTTTTAGCGTGTGTCATGATCAAACTTTAAGGATTACTCAAACATTTGCTGCAATCGTTCACCAAACTTTGCTAGAGGGTGATATTGGTTTAAATGAGGCAAATTTCTAAAACGTTGTTGAGAGAGGAAATTAAATGAGACTCTGATTGTCATCTTTGATCCGTAATTACTGTAATTCTTCGGACTTCGAATCTTACAATCCAATGTATAACAAATGTGGAAACGACTGTTTCAGCCGTAATATCCTGCACAGGTATTGCTTAAGACCAAAGAGGTAAACAATCTATAAAGAGGAAAGGTATGAATATTTCTCAGATGGACACAAGGGTTCCATGATGTCACGGTTAACTCGCTCGAAACTTTCATAAACAACAAGAAACGATAGTAAAGGGATACGAGTGGGCTGATACATTTTCGATTTCTGACAGCCTATGCTTGACCATGCCCAATTTGATATGTCTTTTAACATCCTCAGCCCCATAAATAGTTCTTCAGTAAGTTTACGAGAAACTCTAGTACCTGGACAGGAAAACAATGGAGGTCTCTAAAACGTTAGTAGCATTTCTCTGAATTTATATAGCTGAAATGTTCCAGTGCTAACATCACAGTAGGCTTTTAAATTAGCTCACCTTTGCTTAAGCTGGAACTGAAATGATGTCTTAGGCTTGGCAAGTAAATTAGATAATTGAGTATTTTAAGACTGCTCCTCAGGCATAGTGGAAAGAAAAGTTGGTTGAAGCTAGGTGGAACTCCTTTTTTCGGAATGAAGGATCAGCCACAGTACTGTCGTATCCAGAAACGTGTATGAGATCAGTATTAAATTCTGATATGTAATCGAGGTGTCTGAGTTCTTGAATGGAACCTCAAACAAACCTTTTAAAAAGACAAGATTAAAGGCTTATAGTGCTCCTATATTGTAAAATGCCTGTCCTGCAAACTATGCTGAAAGTGTTTTTATAGAATAGAGCTAAGCTCTCTCTGTCGTAGGTGCTATACATTTGCTCGGTAAACCTGAGTTTAGGCAAAAAGAGTGCTAGAATTTACAAATCTTATGATTTAATGCATTTAATACAGTGCGGATAGAAATGTTAGAATTATCGGCAGTCAGAAATAGCTGTTGATGAAGGCCACGGTAAGCTAGAGTTTCCGAGTGAATATAGGTTGGCATGTGGTAAGGGGAAAAAATGTATTGAATTCATTTTTTTAATTAAGTGGATGAAAATATTTGTAACATTTATATGACGAAGAAATGTATTATTTTAAATTTACTATTTAGTTTCACACTTTACGATCAAATATTTAGTATTCTGCTGAAGAGCTGATGAGTACATTCGCAAAAATATTTTAATGAAATGAATGAATACTTCTTATTAAAAATGGCTTTTGCTTTTGTACGTAGCCCGTTTGCGTTTTTAAAGAAATTAAGGACATGAGAAGGGGGGAATGTTCTTTAGATTGAAAAAAGAAAGGATAATTGAGCCTAATTTGATTAAACTTATACCATTTCAATAACCTTAAAAATGCCCAACTTTTTAACCCTTAAATAACTTTATTTAAGCATAATCATTAAAACCTTAGATCTTCATAGATCATTAAACAATAGAATATCACTGTATTAATTAGATCATTAGAGTTATAATCAATAGAATTGTGATCATTATGGCAATAAAAAGACAGAGTTTCCAAATATAGTTAGTGTTTTCTTGGCTACTGCCTTTTAATGATAAGCACAATACTCATGCTAACAAGACGCGCATGTGGATTTTAAATCGCAATACAAACAAATCCAGACAAAATAAAGCACCGAATTTTTAGTCACTGTTTTATTTCTGCTGTATAGAAATAAAAAAGCGACTAAAATGTAATCATTAATTTAAAAATTAGTTTCTAAAATAAAAAAATATTGATACTGTATAAATTATATTTCATTAATTTTCTGATCCGCATTTTTTCATACTTTAAGCACTTGAATATAACGTCATGGAAAGGAACGATTATATTACGATCTCACAAAGCTATTTTTATCTATAAATATTGTTTTGCTAGAGTTTAAATATGTGTTTCTAAAATCTCTTTTTCTAATTATAGCACTTTTATATACATAAACTGCTACATTGTTATCTGCTAAATTTTTACATTTTATATACATAAACTGCTACATTGTTATCTGCTAAATTTTTACATTACATAGTTTAAGATCCATAAATGCTAATTACGCGTATTTCTCCTATAATGAAAGACTCAGAATTACGGATTGTTTTCAAATTTGCCGCTAATGAAGCGTTAGATTTTCTATTTCCATAATATTGACCATCATGATTGGATATACAAGAAAGGAAAGGCAAAATTTCAACAGAGGAGAATATTCAAAACTATGCAAGAGGTTGTCACGCAGTCCTTGTAATTTATCCTCATATTATCCTAGTAGTCACATTTTTCGAATGAGGTTCCGATAGTTCTTGATACGCAAGGTGTTCCAGAAAACAATTACACCTACTGTTATTCACAATTCAGTTTTGCTTTAAGAGGAACTACAATTCTACAAGTATCTTATTTTAACGTGCTAAACTTTCAACCGTTGCTTATCGTTTTGGATAGTACGTCTACAAAATTCTACATCGGCTGAGATTAACTGCAGTAGTCATTAACAACAAACTCCTCACGGCTCCATCCTTCAGACAGCCCTAGGTTCAGACTCGGAATGAGGCTTTTCAGATATACAGGTCAAAAATATACATAACCATCTGGAGAAAACAATCTGCGTAATTAAGTAAAGAAGTGATAGTAAAAACGCAAGTTAAAGAAATAATATGCTAGTTAAAATAAACTAAATTGTCACAAGTGTACATTGTTTACACAAGAAGTTAGAAGAAACAAAAAGTTACTGAAATGGTTTCAGAACACCTTTTTGTTCAGGAATTATGCGATTTGGAAATCTCGTGATGTCACTTGCAGCTGGCCGAATGAAGGATCTTGAAGTCTGCCCTTAATTTGCGTAGAAATGACATTAAGGCGCAATGAAATCGACGAAATGGCGCATAGAAATTATTGAAACGTCAATATTTCACTTTCACGAATACGCCTTACGAAATGATCATCCTTTTACTGCGATGTTATGAATATTTGTGGCCAGATGTTATGAATATTTGTGGTTTTGTAATTTACATCTTCTTCCATATCGTTAAGTATTATTTTCAGTAACATTCGAAAAGATATCCGCAAGCTTTTTCGTGTCGATGAATACAAAAAAGGCATCAATCTATTGTGTAATTCGTAACGTAATTCGAGTTTTGTGTGTTTAATAGTCGAATCACGTTGGAGTCCTAGTCAACACGTCACTGGGCAGGCACTAATTCAAATGTCAAATATACGAATATTCAATGCTTAGAAGGAATTTAAAGTTCTTTTACCCTCTTCTGTAAAATTTTCAAAATAGTGACTCATGATTTTTGAGATCTCAGTAATTCGATTAAAACTTATTCTTTAAATCGTTTGCTAATTTATAATTGAAAAGAAATGATTAATTTGAATTTATATTTTGCAATACAAAGTTTTAAGAAATGTTTATGGAAATTAAGTTTAACGGCATTGAATAAAAAACAGTACATATAGTAAATAAAGAAATATATTAATAAGAGTCATTCAGATTCACTTATATATAGGAATGTTTTATAACAGTCAACTAATTTTTTAATTAGTTAACTGGATAATAGGTGAAATAAAAAATAATTGAGCACACAACTACATTAATGTCAGCTCGATGTCTCAGTTTACATCAGTGTTTTAGACTATCTGTGTACTTACTTCGAAGGTAGCATAAAAGAAAATTGATTTAGTATATTCTATTACAAAAATAGATTGAATAAAATTATTTAAATAATTTATAGTATCAAGTGAGAGATGGAAATTTCGCATAAAAACTATCAGATCATACTTGCTTCAGAAATATCAAAATTTATTTGTTTCTTTACTGAAATAATAAAATTTACTTACTTGTATGACACTCGTTATTGTATATTTTAGATGCTTCGTGAAAATCACGCATTTCTACTGCCAATATAAACATCTTTCTTGTACATATCAGTACTTAAATATGCAATATTATTTACTACACATGCAATTTTTCTGTAGCTGGGATATATGAGATACTCGTTTTAGCCAGAATATAACTCTCTTTTTTCTGTTTTTTTTTCCTCACAAATGTGCCCTTTAAAGCAAAAACAATTCACAAACATTTTGCATGAACAAACTGCTTATTTGCTAGTATTAAAAATCTGGTTGTCTGAAAATTCATGACGCATTTTTTTCTTTCTTCTTCAGAGGTCCTTTATTTATATGAAGAACAATGAGCAGTCCCCAATAGCATATTGCCCATTTTGCTTGATAACATTTTTACTTTCTGTTAATAGGTTTTGTAATTCTTCATTCACAAACGAACCTAGCTTTACTAGCGAAGAGCTGAATAAGGAGCTGATTTACGGTCTCATCCGAATTAAATGTTATTACCATGAAATGAATTTTGAAGATAAAGAAACAAGTGAAAACTGAGGGCACAAGATCAGGCGAGTATGATACGCGTGACAATACTTTTCATATAAACTCTAATCATTTTTGTCTGGTGTGCTGTCGCGTAAACGGGATGGTATGCAGTTCCTAAACCATGAATAACCTCTAGAAGTTTCTGGAAAAGGCAGTATACTATTGACAGCTCATTGTTCTTTATATAAAAAAAGGACCTTTGAAAGAACATGGAAAAATTGCATCATACATTTTCAGACAACCTAAAATCAACTGTCAAAAATACAGTTTTTCCTAGTATGAATATATAGCTTGTTCACGTTATTTGATAAAATTTCCTAAAATAGTTCAAGTTATTTATACACCTCAATTTTTATCTCTAATCAAATAAATAAATAAATAAAACTTGTGTAGAAAGTTATTTATTTGAATAACAAAAAGAGATGAGAAATTATAATATTTCTTAAAATATTGGAAGATAGTTTGTATTTTTACATATTTCATCCATGTAAATGCAAAATATTTACAAAATCTATGTCTTTTTTCTATACCAATTTTTATTTTAAATCTCCAATTCTATAATTTAATTAATGATAACCTCTACTAACATTTTAAGACTCGAAGAACGTTTAAGTAAACTTTCTAAAGTTTTTAAATAGTTGATAGGGATTTTTAAGATTGCTGTCTTTCTTTGACTTACTGAGTGAAAGAAGTACTTACACCTGGAAATGAGAATCTTTTCCGTAAATGAAACAGGCTGGACCGTCATAAACTCCCTTTAATTCGGACATTAAAGTCTCTGTATTCTGTACTGCGTTCTTTAACACTTTGATGTTGGCACTAAGCGTATACCGGCCATCTGGGTTGCGTTTCAGGGAAAGAGCTTTATAATCATCTTTGCTACGTCTTTTCATCAATTCTTTCTACAGTACAAAAATGCATTATCTAATTATAAATTGTGCAATTTATAATTTGGTTTTCGAAAATTTTAAATACCTATTTGCAAAATTAACGAATTACTCACAGCTTCCGCAGGCAAGTGATCGAATAGGTACTCAATGATGAATTTCTTAGCGCCGTTTTCATCTATATCTGTTGGCATTTGCTCAAGTGCTTGTTGCGCTAATGTTATAAATGTGGTTACCATGTCCGACACAGATTTCGGTAGTTTTCTGACTGACATATCTTCTACAATGATCATCTCGACTGTCACTTTCTGAAATGGAATGTTGCAAATATTAGAATAATAAGAGCTCGAGATGAGTGACTATGAACTTCTGTCAGAAATATGATTTTCTTCATTTACTTATTATGTTTCTAAGAATGTTACATATCAGTATTATATGAATACTTCTAAAGTTTCATATTTCATTATATTAAATTGCTACGAAAAAAAAAACTGGAATTAATTTCTATGAAGTACATAAACTGATTTGGGCTGCCAAGAAAAACTACTAAGAATATGTCGGGAAACCTCAGTTAACTAAAGATTAAATTTCATATGTTTTAATGGCGTAAATTATGTACAACTCTTTAGAGTTTTATGTTTATTAACTGTTACCTTACTATTTTGTCTGAATTGCTACTTCTATTTTTGTTATCTCTCACCAGGAGAAAATTGATAATAAATTAAAATAATGGAAGTTATATTTCCTTTCGCTCACTAAAGATGAAATCCCTATGTCTTTGAAGTAGGATAATATGTCTTCCTAAATGGCCTGCTTTAAAATATATTTTGAAATCCCTAACTCTCCACTGAGTTCCCGTTTTTTGCTTTTGGTGATTTTTATTCCAGCTATAATATAATGTGGCCACGCATTATGTATCTTTCAAACACTGGTATCCGATGAGTTCTCCGTTTTCTTTCATAATTCTGCTTCATTTTTACTCTATTTCTATCGACCTTTTACACTATGCATTTACCTTTCTTCTATACACCATCTACTAATATGTATTTGGACATCCACGCAAATTCCGATATCTGCGGTCCTGATATACGTCACGCCTTCAACCATTAAATATCTTGTAGGAAACAACATTGCCATTAGTGGCATGCAAGATACCACGAAGTGCAGAGTTATCTGATTTCGAGAAAGGTGTAATCGTGGAGTATCACAAAAATTACTTATCTTTAAGGGGTATATCTAGTCAGCTGAATTACCCAAATTTGACAGTGGCCTGTGTGATTCAGAAGTGGAAGGTGAACGGTGATTATCGGAATCTTCTTATAGTCCGCAGACCCCGAATTAGGAGACAGGGACCGACGGGTGCTCTTCAGAGAAATTCGGAAGAACGGCACACAGTCGATAGCTCACATACTTCAAGAGTTTCAACAGGCATCTGGGATGTTGTTTCAATGAATAACATCCGCAAAAAAGGCACATCTGCTTGGTTTTTATGGTTGTGCTGCTGCCCGTAAGTCTTTGGTCAAAAATTCCAATCGCGGTGCTCGGTTAATGTGGGGCAAAACGCGCCGACAGTGGACCATTGATCAGTGGAAACGAGTTTTCTGGAGCAACGAATCAAGTTTCACCCTCTACCGTTCCGATGGAAAAATCTGGGTCTGGCGTCTGCCTGGAAGAGCGCTTCATGTCAGACTGAATTGTGTCCATAGTAAAGTTTGAGGGAGGTGGAATTATAATCTGGGAGTGTTTCTCTTGGTATGAACTGAACCCTTAGCACTAATTTATGATAAACTGAACATCGATGCCTACTGCCCTATTTTGGATGACAGTACGCTCTCTACGTTGTGGTAGATTTACAGATTGGACCCATATTTATTTCAGGACAACATCGCCAGCTGTCAGGTTGCGAGGCCCACAATGGACTGGTATGATGAGAATGGGGTTAACCGAATGGACTGACCTGGCCAAATCCCAGACCTGATCGCTACTGAGAATCTCTAGAACGAGACTATCGCTGAATAAAGGGGAGTAACTACCGTCCAACAGCGCTGAAGGAACTGAGATGTTTTCTCCAAGCCGAGTGGAAGAAAATTCCAATAGCCGTTATACAAGGACTTGCCGAAAGCATGCTCCGGAGGGTTGAGGTTGTAATTGCCTCTCTGGAGGCTCTACCGACTATTGAATTTGAATATTTTTTTCTTTTCGTGACTGTTTAAATACTTATTGATACATAGTATATGATATGACCACTCTTTTATCGGAAATTATGTGACGTTTCGTAATTGTTTAATAATTTTTATAAGTTCTTAAATATTTGGATGAGTTCATTGATACTAGCATAGATTCAAAATATCTAACAGTGGATTCCCTTGAAAATATTCCCAACGCTGTCTCCTCCTGTTCTATCAAAGACCATATTACAGATGAGAGTTTGGTTTCTTGAATAGCATTAAATATATATATAATAAATAATCAGTATATTTCTTCTGCCTTTTGTTGCTGCCTTATGGAAAGGCATTGGGATGCTGTATGCCAATTCTCCCACGAAGCACTCTACGAACTCCATAAAATATAAGTAAAGCAACTCGAAAGGCAATGGGGCTAATTTTCTATACTTTTTCCCTCACAAAGACTGCGTTACATGTAAATATCATGTATGGAATTGGAAGTTCCTTTCCCAAAGTTGCTTGAATAACTGTGAGGCGAAATATTTTATGAAGAAATAAATGTAAAATTTAATATGGGACACAAAAGAAATAATAAAAAGTATTTTGTTGTTGCGATGGCATTTTCTGATGATTTATGTGAATAACTGCTGAATATTAGAGTTTATCTAATGAAAATTTCAAATAAAATCTTAGTTCTAAGTTTAAAAAGTCTTAAAATGAATCTTTAACCCTGAAAGAAAGTTTATTTATCATTAAAGAAACGTTTATCAAAATAACTGAAATAACAGCATATGTGGAGAATGAAGTAATAAATGCTCATTAAGTTTTGGTGCTCAAAATTTATAATTATTTTTAAGCTGTTATATTTTCATTTCGTTTTTTTATTTGTTCCAATTTTCACATGTAGGCAAGACATGAAAAACTGTAAGTAGTCTGGATGCAAAATATTTAAGATTTAAAAGTAAACTCGTTGTTGTAAAACTGTAAAGCGATGCATGAAAATATTTTTTGAGAAAAGTTATCCATTTCAAATTTCAAAGTCTTCAGAAAGTTTTGAAGTGTTTAGAAGTATATTGCAAACATGAGATGAAAATAAAAATTGGGACATTATACTCTCTCGCTTACATATGAAATGAAAATTTTGATTGATTGATAAATTTTCCATGGTTGAATGATGCTTGAAAATGTTTGAATGCATAAAAGCGAATGCATAATATTCAAGAGATTGCTCTGTAACGTATTAGCTGTGATATAGGTTAGGTAATGATCTGTGTGTGTTCCTATATACAGTCATTTTAAAGATGAAGTATGAAAATACCTTGAGGCAATAAAATATAACTCTCATGAATAAAACAGTAGTAGCGGAAACTTATGACAATGATATAAGAGTGTTATATAGCTGTCATCGGTTTTCAAAGAAATACGTTTCAGATTCTTGAAAGCGCTACAAATTTTGTACATAGATGAATGATTTTAGTGCAAGATATATGTGAAGTTGTTGTATTTTTTTATATAATGAAACATAAAAATCTAGATAGACGATGCTCTGTCGGAAAAGTAAAATTACAGGGAATGTCTATTTAACATTGAAGTAAATGGTTATTTGACGAGATATCGCCAAGCTAGCAGCGGTTTCGGCGGCTAATTTTTGTCGCCAACTTTAACGAGATATCTCCAAAAGATGCAAAATGGCCGCCATTTGGCGACATTTTCATCCGCTCTTAAAGAGGCTATCACTCCTAGGGACGTGCGCGCTTATCCGGGACAATTCCGAGAAACAAGATTCTAGTAGGACTGTTTAAGCGGAAGGCTTCCGAGAAATGTTTCGTCTAGCTAGGAGGAACATGTCCCGGCTACGAGCAACATTTTAAAACTTTTCCGAAAATGTTCCGGCTGGAGACGTGTTCCTCGAACGTTCAAACAATCAGACGAAAGTTCTGCTTCTGAAGAAACACGAGTAACTTTCAATATGGCGATGGCTCTCACTGTGAAGTCATGGACGGTGGAAATAGAGGCCGATTTAATTATTGCTGTGTTGTTGTAATAATATAACTGCCTGAGTCATTTTTAAAATGTTTATACATTTATTAAATATATAATCGTGAAAATTTCAGAGTTGACAGTATTTTACGACGTTCTTGCATTTTGGATTTGTTTACAAATTGTTCATCGCCAAAAGTTCGCAAATTTGTCGTATTTCGTGCTGATCGTGTATTATCACTTATATAATAGAATTTTATTTCTTAAATTTAAGTTGAATAATTTTTTAAAATCCTTTTGTATATGCGCGGCTTTTCTCCTAATTACTAATCTTTTAAATTGTTAACTGCATAATCAGTGACACATTTTAAACAACATAAAACATGCATAAAAAAAGAAAAGCGTAGCTTATGTAATAATGAGAATACTCATTAAATTTGCTATTATTTTCATGTTATTAATTAAATACTTTTTGGATTATAAATACATTACTATACTTTTATTGTAAATGCTGCATATTGAAACATTGGAAATTTATGGATTTATTATTATTCATGATGAAAAACATTTGTATATACATTCATTAATATATATCTTATTCATTACATTAATACTAATAAATGTATATTAACAACTTCTAAACCATCGCATCTCTATATCTGTACGTAAATATATGACTTATTAGATGTGTATATATATGTATGTATGAATACAAAAATAACATTGCCAAAAGTTTATTTGAAGTTACTTTTAATTCATGTAATTGGCAGCAACTGTAGTCATTAGTTCTTTGCAAATTATTATGGATATGTAATAATCAAATGAAAAATAATTGATGAGCATTTTAGTACTAAAGAATGTATACATTTTGTTATTGGATTAATTCATAATTATATCATATGTATGATCTGCGTAATATAAACATGACTAATAAATAATAAGAAATGTAACAGTTGTGCATTTATAACATTTGATTACTTAAAACAGTGCACAATTGATTATCACCTTCATATCTGTTTACATTGTAGGGTTTATATTTATTTTAACTAACATTTATTTTAAGTTTAAACTATCTTTCCTGTCAAGCCTTACTTTCCCCTGGAACTGCCAATGCCAGAATATGTAAATTTGAGTAGAACGCGCAAGGATTCAAATTATCAGCG